CACTTAATTTTCTTGATAATTATGTAAATACTTACATAGTTTCAAACTTAAATCTTCAAAGCCAGGTATAATCATATAAGTCTTGTTTCTATTCTTATTTCCTCCACCCTATTTCCTTCATCTACCAAAGATAATCCATTTTATGTATTTTAATGGTTTATATTTCTATTTTTTAAATAGAGGAAGATTCATGCACACACACACACACACACATGCACATAGACATATATCTATATTAGTGTTTCTTAACCCAGATGGGACTGACATTTTGGACTGGATAATTTTTTGTTGTGGAGGGTCACTCACTCTACGTATTATAGTATGTTTAGCAGCATTGCTGTTCTCTACCCATTAGACACCAGTAACATATCTTCAATCGTGACAATTAAAAATGTCTTTAAAAATTTATTTATGTATTTATTTGGGGCAGGGTGGAGAAAGAGAAAGAGAGAGAGGGGGAGAGAGGGGGAGAGAGAATCTCACCTAGATTCTGCTCTGAGTGTAGAGCCTGACACAGACTCAATCTTAGGACCCTGTGATCATGACCTGAGAAAAAATCAAGAGTTGGATGCTTAACCAACTGAGCCACCCAGGTTCCCCCAGAATGTCTTTAGACATTGCCTAATGTCTAAAGGGGCAAAGTTTTGATTGAGATTTACATTTACATTTATGTGCATTTGTAAATATGCTTATGTATATATTTATTTTCCCCTCCAACTTCTTAGATATACAGCAGCAAATTACATCCATTTTCTTCACCTTACTTTTAAAAATTTTATTTTTAGAAAATTTTCTTTTTTTAAAAAATTTTTATTTATTTATGATAGTCACAGAGAGAGAGAGAGAGAGAGAGAGAGAGAGGCAGAGACACAGGCAGAGGGAGAAGCAGGCTCCATGCACCGAGAGCCCGACGTGGGATTCGATCCCGGGTCTCCAGGATCGTGCCCTGAGCCAAAGGCAGGTGCTAAACCACTGCACCACCCAGGGATCCCAATTTTTAGAAAATTTTCAACAAATTTCAATATCCAGATGAAAATCAACAAAAATATTTTTTACTTAAAGGTGTTTCAGAATACATGGTTCTAAATGATATATATAAAACATTCTATCCAAGAAAAATAGAATACACATTTTCCTCAAGTACACATAGAAACCCCTGGTTTGCAACATTCGTTGCAAAAAAGAGACAACGAATATTACAAATTTAAGAAGACTGAAATCATACCTAGTATACTTTCCAACCAAAAAGGTACAAAACTGAAGATCAACAATAAAACAAAGTTGGAAAATCTACAATGTAAGTATTAAATATTTAATATGTAAATACTAAACAACACATTATAGTACAAGCAATGGGACAAATAAGAAATCAAATGGCAAATCAAAATATTCTCAAAAGAAAACATAATATTCTAAAATCTATGGGATGTAGCAGAAGCAGATGTTAGAGTGAAATTTATGCTATAATGCTTGTATTAAGAAAAAAAGTTCAAATAAACAACATTACACCACAAGGAACTATAAAAAGAAGAATCTTAGCTGAAAAATTCAGTAAAGGAAAGAAATAACAGAAAAATCAGAAATAAATAAAATGGAGACCAAAATAAACAGTAACATAACATTGAAAACAATGATCAGTTTTTTCAAAAAACAAAAACAAAATTGGCAATGCTTTAACTACATTAACAAAAAAAGAAGACTCAAAAACTGAAATGAGAAATGGAAGAGAAAAAAATACAACAGCTAACCACAGAAATACAGAGCATGACAACAGATTACTATGAACAATTACATATTAATGAATCAGATAATTCAGGGGGAAAATCAGATAATTCCTAAAAATGCACAGGTTACCAAGATTGAATCATGAAATCTTGAATTCAAGAACTAGGAAATCTTCTTAGACCAATAACAAGAATGAGAGTTGAATTGGGAATCCACCTGACTTTTTTTGCTCAACAAAATATATCCTGGGGATTACTCCTGAGTAGTATATAGAAATAGTTTTCTTTCCTTTTCCCAGTTGTATAGTATTCCACTGTCCCATTCCTTCCTATATTTTAGCATTTTTTCAGCTTTTACACACAGGTATGCAGAATAGGTCCATAACTATTTGGGCTAGTGCCCAGAGAGAGATTCAGGTGTCCAAGTGTTGAGAAAAATTGGACAACACACTTTATTTTTTTAAAGATTTTATTTATTTATTTGAGAGAGAGCACAGAGTGAGAGAGAACTTGAGCAGAGGAAAAGGCAGAGGGAGAGAGAAGCAGGCTCATCCCTGAGCAGGGAGCCTGCCATGGGGCTCCATCCCAGGACCCGGGGATCATGACCTAAGCTGAAGGCAGATGCTTAACCGACTGAGCCACCCAGGTGCCCCTGGACAACACACTTTAAAAAACAGAGTAATTACCTTCCTCTTGCTCCATTAGCATTTTGTTTAGTGTGACAACAAGTAGCACCTTCCCCATCAAAGACTATTAAAAAAAATTGGGGCACCTGCGTGGCTCAGTCGGTTTAGGGTCTGCCTTTGGTTCAGGTCATGATCTCTGGGTCCTGGGATCAAGCCATGTGTCAGGCTCCCTGCTCAGGGGGGAGTCGGCTTCTTCCGCCTCACACCCTCTACCCCCCCACTCATGCTCTCTCCCTCTCCCTTTCAAATACATAAATACATAAAATCTTTAAAAAATTCTATTCTTAAAGCTCAAAGTTTTTCAAATTTAAGAGAAGTACATTTCTGGCATCTCTTAATTATTATCATTGTCTTATCATTTCTGAACCTGGATCTAGTTATGTTCTTGTTTGCTAATCTGCAATTTGGACTTCTAAGCTGCCCAAAGCTTTATCATTTTATTTTTCAATTTTTCCTTTTCACAATGTTTTGGACTTTTATCTCATTGTACCAAGGAGAGTGCTCTGTTCGCTATGGTGGTCCTCAATCCCTCTCACCAACTGCAAGGATCAAAGAATTATTCCAAATTACTAAATGGGATTAAATTTAGGAATTTGGAATTCCCAGTCACTGCTATCAAATAGCAACTCAAAATGTTGGTTTCCTCTGAAGATCAGTGGGCAGAAGAATGTTACAGGATATGAGGTGGGACAAGGAGCTCCCTTGGTGCCCAAACAATCCTCAGAATGAGGATTCTGAGGCCAGCCTGAATGGAGTCCCCAGCTGGGCCAGAGGAAATTAGACCTCAGCTTCGATCGGGGGAGAGAGAGGAGCCCTGAGATTTTCAGGGATGCTGGGCTGATTCTTTTACCATTTCACAGCAGCCTTGGACTACAGCAACCTGTTCTCCCTGACAAATGAGAAGGCCAGGCTCAAATTAATTATTTTGGCACTATTATTATACAGACCAATTCAGTACATTTATTTAAAGCTGAATATTAAAACCTATTTATTTTCTCTTCTAGCTCATAAGCTGCCCCCCTGCCCCTGCCCCAAATGGGTTACATTATGAAAGCTGAAACTTCAGGAAATTCCTCATTTCCATATGAATATCTCATTCTGCAGTTTGAAAAAGTACAAAAGTATAAAATGTACCTCATTTTGATGTGGCCCCCGGGAGAAAGAGTTAACGGAGGTTTTGCTAAGGGGTGTGTGTGTGTGTGTGTGCTGAGTCGGCAGAAAGGAGACCATGCAATAAAGAAGGTGATCTTTCCTATTTTTAAAAGGAAATACTTTGTAAGATCGAGGCACGCAATCTGCTAACTCACTTTAGGATGTCGTTTTCCCAATGATCCTCAAATTGATTCATCAAAATCTTTTCCCATTTAATCAATAAACCCACCTCTCTGAACAATTTCTTATAGAATTGCAAATTTCTTAACTTTCGTTTTTAGGATTATTCCTTGTCTACTAATAATGGGCCAATGATAACACATGCTCAAGAGCAAAATCCAAAATACGATTTTGTATAATGAAAAGAAGAGACAGATTTTTTTTTGGCCAGTTAAAATACCAGCTCGAACAAATTATTTGCCCTTCAGTATTTTTTTAAATCTTTTATTTCTCTGTTCTTGGGCTCAAGACGAACATATCTGCTTACTGCTGTTTTTTGCTTGTCTTTAATCATACAAATAGCATCTAGCCTCTTCCATCTCCTTACTGCTCCCCCACCCTCCTTCATTAGAAGGTTCCCTCTGTTCTCATTTCCTCCCTTACTTCATTGTGAGCAGCTGGGCTATGTGCTTACAGCAAATTAGCTGTAAAATAAAGCAGCCTTTTTTTTCCCTTTTATTTTTTTTCCAGGGTGTTGTGGGAGAAAAGGTGGTTAGAGAAATTATCCCACAATAAGCAAGTGTGGACAAGGATCAAATAAGCAGAAGAAATCAGCCTGTTGGAGGGTTCACTCACACTGATGAACCATAGTTTAGTACATTCCCCTCCTGGGGGGTCTCTCCTGCGTCATTCTGGATGCTTCCCCTCAAGTCCTTTATGCGAAGGCATTTTCCCCACTGTTCTTGATTGCCACAGACATTCACCAAATGAAGTCCCGGTTGGAATGTGTGTTCTTTAAAATATTGAAATCCAACTGCAGTCTTAATGTTGTTGGCCTCACTTTTTGTGTATGTTTAAAAATGCAACAGCAATTGTCACAGCCATTCATCAATTTAAAAAGGCAGGCAGGCACTGAAATTGTGTATGGTCTCGGGAGGAAAATTAGTTCTAAAGGTAAGGAAGTCGAAATAAGCTGGATGAGAGAGAAAGCACGCGACAGACGTGGTTAAAGCCCTAGCGACTACTCCCTGGCTTCTGGGTTCAACGTCTTCAAGGTGGGCTTTGTGGTTCATCAGGGTCTGCAGGTAATGGGCAAGCACCCCCCGTAAAGATAAAGGTGCGGGTGACCACACTCAGGATGATTCTTTGTAAGGTCAAGTAAAATCCTCTCTGCTTGGTTTTGAGCACATTGACTAGAAGATGCTAAGTATCCTCACTTGGCCTCTCTCCTGGTGGCAGGTTCAAATGTAACATGTTGTCACTTTTCTCTCTATCCTAGCTTAAGTAGCACAGACCTACCTCAAGGGGGATGAGTGGAAAGAACACTTAGTTGGAGGCATAAGGTCACCCTACACCTTGCTGGACACTTCATTATTATATGCGGTGAGTGTCAAACTTTTTTTCTGAAGCAGTGAAATATTTTCTTTCCCAAAGGAAGCATTACTTGGCATTTAAGTATGCAAAGCAGCAAACGGAACATTTGAGTACCTTAAGCTTATATTGCAATTTACTAATTTATGCATCTGTGATTTTAACCTTTATTTATTTTAAAGGCACTCAAAGAGAATTTTTTTTTTTCAAAGAGAATTCTGACGCTGTTTGGTTGAATGCAAAAAATTGAAATTGGGGATTAGGGGTAACTCTTGCCATTATAACAGCCTCAACTTCCTAATTCTACTCTGCTTATTTATGATTTTTTTTTCTTTTGGTTACAGAGTAGGGAGGCAATTTTGATGCAGACATTTAAGTAGAGAGATATGGTAAGATTTTTGTTTTTTTTTTTATTACATTTCCTTTGTGACCTCGGAACATTCCCCATTTCCTAGGAGATGATTGCAGAGGCAGGATTGCAAAGTTGGCAGAAAAACAAGTCAACCTGATAGTACCAGGTTACACTGAGTGATCTCACATTTGTTCAGATCACTTGAGTGTTTTAAATTACTGTTTAAGAGTGGTTAAACATATTTACAAATGCAACCCTAATTAAATGTTTGCAGAATCTCTGAAGCACCGTGGCAAACTCAAGAGTAAAGAATGTGGTTTGGAAACCATTGCATTGAGAGCATTTCCAGAGATTTCAGATCGCCAGCAACAGCAGCAGCATTTTGAGAGTAAAGTCACCAAAGTTGGTGAGTCAGGAGTGTGTGTGCCTCCTTAAGAGCCATAAACGCTCTAGAGGGGACGTGTCATCTCTTTTGGATTGTTGGAACAACTTTTCAGCCCCAAGTTTTGTTAAAGCGGAATTTCTCTAGTTGGTTCCATGCAAATGAGAGGATGCTAGAGACAGGAGCCTGGAAGCCCTTCCTGATTCTAGAGCTTTCTTTGGATCTCACTTTCTCCTCCATGGGGGCAGTGTGGTAGTCATCAGCCACATGGGGCTGCTTACATTTAAATCCTTATCCTCAACTAAACTTACATAAAATTAAAAACTCATTTCTGCAGCCTCACCAGCCACATTTCAAGTATATCATATTGGATAGGACACATTTGGACTTTCTTGCAATCACAGAAAGCTTTATGGGAAAATACTGCTCTAGAATGTGAGCAACTCATCAGTCTGATGGCCATTTTGAGGTTGGTCTTGAAAATAGCTTATAAATCTGCATAGGATCATCTTTCTAGTCAAAGCAAGCATCCCCTTCATTTTGCTGAAACCCATTTAAATGAAAGATGAAGGGGAAAACACCTGGCAACATCCTCTGATCCCTCTGACAGTCCTCTTTCCTAATGGCCATGACAGAGTTAGAGGGGGAGTACATTGAGGCTTAGATTCGGGAATTCCCACGAAAGACCATAAAGGGCAAACAGAGTGATTCAGAGAGAGAACTCTGGAGTCAGGCTACAGGTTCTGAATCCACACAACCGCTTACAGGCTATGCCATCTCGAAGAAGTTAGCCTCTCTGTGACTCAGTTTCTTCTTTTAGGATAATGCCAGTACATACCTCATTAGATTATTGTGAAATTAAATGAGATATTGCTCAGTGCCTTACTCCTAGTGAGCATTTGATAGGTGTTGGTTACTTTTATTACTATCACCACCTGCCCAAACTAGAAATTCCATTATGGAAGTCATTCTTTGAATAATAATAATATGTTTGAAACTTCAAACACATGAAACACAAGGAAACTGATTCTAAAAAATCGTCCAGAGAAGAGAGTAGTAGTCAAAATGTGACCTGTGTGAAGGGTGTCTGGATAGGGCTAGGAAACCAGCAAACGTCACAAATTCTCCATTCTAGAGTTTCCTTGATCCCTCCCTTTAAAAGCTAGAGGTAGTCTTCAACTAATACTTGAAAGAAGAGAGTTTTCTGAACTCTTGCCTAGTTGGGAAAGTCTGTAATTGTCATATAAATGACAACTTGGCTGAGCTTTAAATTCATGGGCCCCAGATTACTTGTTTTAAATCTGGATAAACTTGGTACCATGGTTTTCTGATATTCAGTATTTGAAAGCAATCTGGCCTAATTTTTAGTTTTTCGTTGCAGATGTGTTTTGAGTTCCCTCAGTGATAAACTTGGAGGCAAGGATTCAAATGCGAATTCATTTGACAGGTGAAGGAGGGAGGGTGGAGATGCAAGACAGACAAAGGGCATGTCTTAGAGTGGGTTAGCAAGACAGATACCACTGTATACACTGGGAGCTTAATTGTGCTGCATTAATTGTGGAAGTCAGTGAAAAACACATTTCCCAAAGTTACACTCTCAGAGAAGTGAGGAACCTGGGGTACTTAGTCACCAAATCCTGTCTCTTACTGCTTGAACACAGCTTTCAGAAGTGACTGATCCCCCAGACTTGAAGACCTCTGCAAGAGCAGAGAAGGGCAGGGTCAGAAAAAGACTGGAGGAAATCCCAGGGGTTGGCAGTTCAGTGGTCAGGCTGCCCATGCTGATGTACTAGGGATGAGAGCCCGTGTGCAGGCACACAAGGTCCACCACGGGGAGCAGCCTCGTTCTTCCATGGGGATGCTTGATGCTTGAATGACTGATTGATTGTAATTACACATTTTTTGTCCTGTGTCCTCTTTCACTTTCTTTGGATCTCACTTTCTCCTAGTTTCTCTGTCTCTTATTCTTCATCTCTCATCTCTCTCTTTCTCTGATGCTCAATCACTTTTTAAATTCTTTTTTTTTTACTAGATTAGCCTCTTTAGCATGCAAACTTAGTCCTGAAAAATTTTCTTTAATTTTATCTTTTCTTATTTCTTTGGCATTGGTTCATTTTTTTCTCTTATTTTCATGCAATATCTATATTCCTAAGTTCTAGCTGTATGTTTTGCCCAATAATCATATTATCTCTCATCATTTTTATCTTTATGCCTTTTATTCGCAGTGAAAACAAATTTTCTGGTTTGTCCTCCTCATTACTGCTTTTATTTTTGACATTGTTGGATCTGCTCTCTATTCTCTCTAAATTAGATTTTATTTTGCCATTGCAAACTTAACTTTCTTCCAATTCTTCCTCAAGGGTCCAGCTCAATTGTCATGTCAGTTTATTCCAGATTTCTCCACTGTTTCATAGATACTATAACTTTTCCAATTCTATCAAAAATATTGAAGAGTTTTCTATTTTTTTTCTTGCCCTTATAGTAAATCATCTTCACATTTTCCTCTTAGTCTTTAGGATACTGTCCATTTCTTTTTCTTTTTTAAAATGTTTTATTTATTTATTCATGAGAGAGAGAGAGAGAGAGAGAGACAGACAGAGACAGAGACAGAGAGACAGAGATGCAGAAACACAGGCAGAGGGAGAAGCAGGCTCCACGCAGGGAGCCTGACGTGGGACTGGATCCTGGTACTCCAGGATCACGCCCTAGGCCAAAGGCAGCACTAAACCGCTGAGCCCCCAGGACTGCCCAATGTCCATTTCTTTAATCTTCCATATTTTCTTTCATCTGTATGTACGTATAATTTTTACTGAATCTTAAAGAAGCCCACATCAACTCAGACTGACCATTTGCCAAACAAAAAAGCCTGTGGATTTTGTCCTGATTCTACTTGTTGTCTACTGCTGACTGAAATGTAAGTAGGAGGGCAGTTTGATGTTTATACCTCTCAGCTCAGGCTCCACTCCTCTCCATCAAGAGAAGCTTTGATGGGCCAAAGAGAGACTTTCCTCTACTCTTGGAACCCAGTTCTCTTGCCCTCTGAACCCATGGAGTAGAGGAAAATGTAGACTTGCAAGCATGTGCTAAAACCTAGACTATTTGTATTCCCTCCATTGTCCATATTCCTTTACTTGTAGGGGCTATGCTTTTCACAATGCAATTTGCATCACAAGTTCTATGTGCTTTCTTATATAATTAAAAAAAATATTTATTCTCTGTTTCGGTATTGAAATATGAGGAATGATTGGAATAACTGAGTCGTGTATAGCGATTTGAAACCCAAGTTCTACAGCTAGACTGCTCAGGTTCAAATTCTGATTTTCCATTTATTAGCTGCAAGACCCTGATAAAGTCACTTCACTTCCCTAGGCCTTTGTTTCCTTGACTTTGAAATGAGGGTAAGAATGGAGCATCTACTCTAATAGGTTGTTGTGGATATTAATTCCATTAACATATGTGAAATGCTTGGCAGAGTGCCTGCCACAAAGTTACTAATCGATAAATGTTAGCTCAAATTATTATGTCACAAACACCACCTGTGCAGTGAGAGAAATAGCCACCATTGTTTTTGGTTATGGGTGGGTAGGCAAGAGAGAGAAGGTCCTGGGGGAAAATGAAGAATTTTCAGATCTACTTTTGGCTGCTCTATCCAGTTCATGAGACCAATATGGTAGACACTAATGGTTTTTCTACTTCCAGTTCCATCAGTCTTTAATTAGTAGAAATCCATAATTAGTAGAATTAGAATTCTCACCACAGGTCATCTGCTGAGTTTTACTTTTGGTTTTGTAGTGAGTTTTCCTTTTATTATGTATTTCATGTGTATTTTAGTGGGATATTGGGAGAAATTGCATTAGGTGACTTGGCAGATACCACTTTAAATTGGTATGATGTAGAGAGTTTTTACCTGCTGATCTTGCAAATTACTCCTATCCTGCCTTGGTTCAAACAATAAAGGAGAGGCAGTAGCAGTCATGGAGTACAGCCTTTATCTATGTCATGGGAGGAAAGGAAGTCCATCCTGAGGCTTCTCAGTCTGGGAGTATGTGACATTGACCATCTGACCACATGGGTAGTGAGGTGCAGGTAGTAACACATGTTCAAAATGGGTACTGGTGTTATGCTGTGATTCCATTAGGAAAAGAGGGAGCTATTTCTGGCTGACTTGTGGAGTGTTTAAGGGAATGTCTGGCAAACAGGAAGTGCTATAAGGGTTTTTGAATCAAACAACTCTATGAAGTAGAGTAGTATTATTATACCTCTTATACAGATGAGAAAATTGAGGTTATATACTTTTCCCAAGGTCACCCATCTAGTAGAAGGTAGAGTCTGGGTCCAACCCCAAGCAACTTGGTTCTAGATTTCCCATTCTTGACAACTGGACAACTACCATACTTGACAATCATTTGGAATTCTTCCATGGGCTTCATTGAGACCACATTGCTCACCCCTAGATGGAAAACAAATCAGGAAAGTTGCTGTTGTTCCCATCAAACAAAGTTTACCAGAGAATGTTTTCAAGTCTTGATTATACCATTAATAGTGTCATCTTCTTCTTCTTCTTTTTTTTTAAAGAGTTTATTTATTTATTCATGAGAGACACACAGAGAGAGAAAGGCAGAGACACAGGCAGAGGGAGAAGCAGGCTCCATGCAGGGAGCCCGATGCAGGACTCCAGGATCATGCCCTGGGCCGAAGGCAGGTGCCCAACTGCTGAGCCCCCCAGGGATCCCAATAGTGTCATCCTCTAAACCCCAAACACCAACTCTTCATTTCTCCCCAGGTGCAACTGTTATTCCCTGGAACAGAATAAAAAGTAAACACGTATGCCATGAGCCTCTGTCAAGGTCCATGGATATGTGATATATATATATATATATGTGTGTGTATATATATATACACACACATATATATATCAGTTTATTTGTGGATGCCCTCCTTCTTTAGAATATTAATATTCTGAGGACCTTAAATCAATTTTTTTTTTACTTGGCAAAGTTTTTTTTGTGTGTGTGTGTGGAGTT